ATCCATTGATGTAAGCTTTTCTCACCCCAGGGAATCCAATTGTATTCTTGAGGTTATATACTTGGGTTAGGAGTGTGTAGTTAACTAAGGAAGGAAGAGGTAGGGGTCAGTTTTATGGCCGTGGGAACCTGACAAGTATGCATTTTCATTGGATGCCAGCACATAAAAGGCCTGCCCCAGTTTAAACGAATATCAAAACTGTTGTCACTCAAACTGTCATTGCTTGCAGAAGTCCAGGAAGATTTCGTAAACCAGAAGTAGGTAATGGGCATGTTCTAGAAGTTTTGGGTTACAAATTCTGAGTATTAACATTACACATTCACACTGATCCAGAATCACCGCATAGGGCAGCTGGAGGCTGATGTCGGAAGCTAAACAGAGTCAGTGCTGGTGAATATTGGATAGAAAACTGCTAGGAAATAAATCTCTATGCTGTTAAACTAGAGAGAATTATTTAAAAATGGAAGAAGGCAAATAGCAAATCATTTAATCTCTTATGACTGCATTCATATTGAGTCGCTTTGTAGCAACATGGTTTGCTCTCAAGAGCTTAAAGCAGACCTTTTAAAAGTAATGACCAAGATTGCAAGGCTCCTCTGTCAGTACATCCCAACTAGAGGTAGCCCTGGACAGCAGATTGCTGAAAGAGTATCTGTGTAGAAGGGGCTGCAGTGGGATGACTGGCAAACTGTATAGAGGGGACAAAACAGCGTTTGCGCAGGAAGAGCAAAGTTACTCAACAAAAGAGAACCAAGAAAAGACCGGGTGCCTGGCTTTTACAGATATTAAGATTTTCTTAATATCTCTACAACTTACAGATATTACAAATTTTCTTATATCAGAAATGTGATCAGCGGTAAGATTGTCTCGGATGTAGATGCGGGCATGCTTGATAACAGGCTGTCCCAATATATTCTGCATCACAAGGAAAACATTGAGTTTAGAAAAGGAGACTTTCCCTTGCCTTATCTCTGACATGTATAGAATGGTTACTGTTGGGGCAACTTAATCATCACATCCTCCTCCTCCTCTCCTGGTAAGGCTGAAATGATAGTGGCCAGACACACTGTGATTCCCTGATGAGAAGTGGCCTGTTAAACAGTAGTATGAGCCTATTCCTTCCTTTCTGGAGGTTCATATTACATGCCTTGGGGGGCTTGCTTTGTGTTTTTGATTCTGAATAAGCCATACAGGGGGTTTTCATCGTTCCCAAGCATAAACTTCAGGCATACATGGTTTTCTTTTCCTGTGATTGTATGGAGGCCTCTTTGTCTCTGGCTGGCTAAGGATAGAGTTGCACTAGTGAACTGGATGTGACTTTCTCTTGTAGCTGCCTGCCTACTTGTTGCCTAGTACCTTGACTTGATGGGATAAGGTTCAAGATGTGGAATTCCTTGTGTCTGACTGGTGTATTTATTCAAAGATGTGCAAAGGTCAGACATGGCATGGGAAAAATTAAGCCTCTGTGCTGTATGCCTGCATTCCTTGGCTATCTCAATTGTTGATCTATAGAGTGTGGATTGATGCACACCTCTTAACTCTCTAATGTCTTGGTGGCGCATGACTTTTAAAGCAGAAAACTCTGATTGGGTGCCACTGAAGATTTCCCTGACCCTGACAACTAAAACGGATCAGGACGAACAAACATGGGACCAGGGGAGTCAAGCTTCTGTATGAACTGTAAAAAAATGTGCAAAAATGAGTCCTTTCACTAGGCCAGGTGAATTGTTTCTTCATGCTTTTGCCAACTACATGCAAGCTCTTGAATGGCCATTCAAAACTCTCCCAGTGAAATACCTTGTTGCCTAATAGGATTGCCAAGGGGCCACTATCATTCTCAGATCAAACAAAAATCAAGGGATAAAATAATACCATGAAAGCGACTCTTGAATTGAGCATATAAACAAATTAAGACTTGCTGGAGTGGCATTAAAATGTGGTGTGGTAGTTAGTACAGCAACAGCAGCCCTTGTACCAGTATAATCCTGCAGTGAAACATGCTGGCCAACAATGCTAAGAGGAGCAGGAACTGTTTGAGGAGGGTACCTTCTGAAATGATTGTGCAAGCCAGCAGTGAAAACATCCTCTTAACTAGAGGTAGCATGAGTGGCCATAATTGGCTCTTTGTTTTTTTGTTTTTTTGTATGAGTGGTATGCTTCCAGCTTGCTCTAACATGTTGTGCCTCTCTGCACTGATAGAGCCTGAATGTTGCCGCAATTAATCCAAGGAAGAAGGCTGCCTTGACAGGTAGAACTACTTGCCCATAAAGCTTAATGTATATTTACATTGTGATGCTGGTATCTTAGGTTTCCGATATGTAGGGATGAGGTAGGGGGGAGGGAGGGAGGGTGAGAAGGAATGATATGAATAAGGTACTTTCAGTCTTTTTCTTTTTTTTTTAAGACTGTTCGTGTTTAGTTGTGACTCAGGAAAAAAAAGGCCTGTAATGGAGTGGTAATGAAATATGAGCGCTGTAAAAGAAAAAGAAATCGGCCATTCATTGCAAGACGGGGCACAAGTCTGTGCTTGCCCAACTTTGCATGCTTTTGGAAGCATTTTCCCACAGTTATCAGTGAACGAAATGGAAGCCTTGTCTGCTTTCAATATGAAGCATATTTGGGCTGTAGTCCAAGACTGTACCTTTAAAAAAAAGAAAAAGAAAAACACTAAACTTTTTCTCTTGTTCAGAGACCAAATGCAAAGCAAAGTCAAGAGCAATTCATTTGCGTTCTGTTTAGAAAAAGTCAGCTTTGTGTATATAACAGTGGTTGTTTTATCTCAAAGAAACTATTTGTTTCAGGTAGTTTTTCATTTCTTCCCACTGGTCTTCTAAGTAGATGGCCAGTAAATGCAGAGCAGTTAATAAACATAAGGCAAATTTAAACCTTAGGAGTTACAATGTTCTTTTTGGTTGCCCAAAAATCAGTGGTGGTTTTCAATTTATTTTACTACCGGTTCGCTCGTGTGCTCATGCGATGCTTTTGCGCATGTGCAGAAGCGTCTGGGTGGGTGGGTGGAGCTTCCTGCCGCTGCCACTACCAGTTTGCTCGATCTGAGGTGAACCGGCAGAAACCCACTTCTGCCAAAAAACATTTGACTTCTCCCACGTTTCTCAAAATTATGGTGATCTGATTGCACTCGGTCTCTTTAATATTTGGCAGACTCTTAATCTTTTGGCACTCAGAGTTACATGAGAAATAAGCCTTTTTTTCTTTTGTGTGTGTGAGAACCAAGTGTGTATTATTTGTTGTAAGTGCAAAAACTTTTAAGCACTGAAATGATTCCAAAGTTTTTGATTGAAAAGTTTGTTGTGGCCCATCAGTGTAGAAAATTTTAAAATCCATCCAGAACTTTCAACATGGAGAATAGTACCCAAAGAAATGTTCTGGAGAATGTGAAAGTTTGCTCACTCTTCCATGCTATTTGGATTGGTTTTCATTTAATCGTGTTAGCTATCTCTCAGGTTTGGATGTCATTTTTAATAAAGACTTTTTAAAAAGTTTCTATACCTTCTAGCCAACTATGCTACTTAATTTGACTGTAATGTCCTGGCAGTTTACAGTTTGAAAAGCAATGTTCAGCATTTATAGGAAGTACTTATTGTACCCTTCATTTCATAGTTTATACTGGTTATAATGTTCATCATAGGCAATGTAATCTTACTAGACATCTTTCCTGGTTTCACTGCCCAACTCCTGCAGTCCAACTTATCTAAGCATTTTGACTCACCATTCATTCTTCATGGAGTTCGAAGAGAGTCAGCTTGATATAATGGTTAAACCAGGAGTCTGTAAGTTTCAGTCCCACATTAGGCATGAAAGCCAGTTAGATGACAGTCAGTCTCTCTCAGCCCAACCCCATCTCAGAGTTGTTGAGGTTTAGAGGGGAGCATTTTTACATATGTTTGCTGCTTTGAGGTACCTACAAAGTAGCAAAGGCAGGATGAATTTAAAAATTGAGTACAGAATGGACAAATGAAGATGACACCTACTGCCCTCTAGTTGATATAGATTGCAGGTCCTGCTATACCTTGATCTGCTGGGTCTATAACTTTGGATAGGGAGGTCAAAGTTCAAAACCTGAGGAAGCACCAGATTATATCCCTCTGCTCCCTGAGTTTTTAAATTCCTGTTTCAATTCAAGGTTAACAAGAAGGTGGCTTAGCTATAACAGCTGGCATCCTTCCAGCCTAAATCTGTTTGCCTTGTATACAGCAATGACTCCTGGCATTCAGATCTCACAGGGCAGCTTAATGAGTTTATAAGCACACAGTTGCCACTAGTTCAACCATTTGTAAACTCTTCCTCCAGGTAGGTTTTGAACAAGGAGAGACTATCCTTCTATTCCTTTTCCCCACCCCTTCTTTCATGGCTGCTTTACACATTTCTCCCTCTCTTCCCCTTCCCCCTCCCTTTCCAAATTCATCTGCTCTTTCCTTTCTTTCGTTACCTGATCCTTGTGGGAACAGTGATGGCTTTGCTTTAGACAAAGTGTTCAAAGAGGTGCTGAAAAGCTGAATCTTTGGAGATTATGGCTCTGAACCTTGAGAGTGCGATTCTAGCAACCATGCCTGGGTATCTGAATGGGAAACATTGATATTTGTAAAATGTTTGTGGTTTTTTATTATTATTATTTTAAAAAAATCTCCCCCTCTCAGAGCTGTTTTCTTCCTTGCAGCGTGTTTTATGCAACATAACAACAAAACCCTGGAAGGGATGGTAACTTCCTTTCTAAGTATGTAAGATGCATTAGTGGTGACAAAGATGAGACTTTTCACCTTAAATTGCCTGAACCAGGAAGGTTAAGGCAGCTTAAGCAGCTGCAAGAGGATAACCTTTGTTTCAGCTATAATCTATTGACTATTTGTGCTTACAGGCAAGTCACAATTTAAAGGAAGAAGCTCAACAGTTTTCAGAAGGTGCTCTACAAAACTTAGGACAATAGTAGTAGAATAAGTGTGTCTTACAAAAAATGACTGATCCCTTTTACTATCTTGCAGAGATCCTACACGTTACTGGTTGAAGCCTGGGATTACAGCAATGACAGTGCTAGTAAGTATGCATTTCCCTTTTTGTTTCCTTTTCTGGAATTATTTAAGAGTAAGCACTTACGAAGACATTACAAAAGATGAGGCCCTTCGTCATGCTTTGGCAAAGTTGGCGTGCATTTCTTAATCACAATGGTGTGCATCTAAAAGAAAAGGGAAAAATGATGGACATGTACTAGGAGACTTCTGGATGCATGAGAGTACAGTTCCCAGAATTCCTAACTAGCCTGCATGCATCTTACAATGCATCTGATGGTAAAAGAGTACATTGTAGAATATCTCCAATCTTGGACAGAATTTTGGGTGAGGTCAATATCAGGGAAGACTCACATGATTAAATTGACCAGATAAGGGATGACAGTTCCTTAAGTTATTCTGAAATTTACATTTTTGATAGACATCCTGTTACAACAACAGAAGAATTTTCCCCCCCTTTCCATGGTGGTCCCAGGTTGAATGAGAAGAAATCTGCTCCATTAGGGAGAGAGAATTTATCTTCCAGGAGAAACACATCTGGGCTGCTCATCTATTGTTGCATGGCTCATAATGAACATTAATAAGAAAAATGAGACAGAAAATTCTTCAGGATCTTTCCTTTCAGGCAAGCTGAAAAGATTTTGAAGCAAGCATAGAGAGTACTTGTGGGAGACTACTGGGATTGGTTGATCCAGTTTCCCCCATGTGGCACTGAAGATCCTTGCCAGGAAAACTATGGATGGTATCACTGTGCTATAATGTGACCATTTGCTAGCCAGCCTGCTTGAATAGGGGGCTGTATTATAACTGAGGCTGAGCAGAGAGGAAAACCTGGAACCTTAATATAATAAAATTTTGGAGAAAAGGTAGGAAAGAGAGAAAATCAAATCAGAAGAAGGAAGCAGGAACAAAGAACAGGATAGATAAAATATCCAGGTAATAAAACAACAACTAGCAAGTAGATATTATGGAACAGTAGCAGAGTCCCTGAATCCAGAGACCCTGTTTCCTGATAAATCAATCGTGGCCTTCTTCCCTAAAAGTGGGATTCTTGATACAGTCAAGATATTCCCAAGAAATAAGGAAAACTGGGTGTCTTCTACCAAACTTCTCTTGGAATGTACTATAATTTATAACTTTGACTATGATGTAAATGCTTTTCCAACTGTTCTGTTCCTGCCATGACAGAAACTTACAGACATGCCACTTAAAGAGTATGTTTTCCCTAGGGATGAAGCTACTAGCAGAGGTAGGGACCTAAGTGGCAGAGATAGGAGCCAAGAGATAGGCGTGTCAGGTTTTCTCCAGCAAAATAAGTAGGAACCTGGACAAGCCTTTGATCTCAGGTGAGATATCCCAAAAATAATGGGGCTGAGGGAAAGAATGCATCTGAAACTTCCCTGAGTAAGACATAAAAGGCTATCTGCCATGAAGAATTAAACATAACTACCAATAAAGATCAAGCATTTTGTGAAAGCTTACTCAGTTGTCTCTCTCTTCTTCTTGGGAGCAGACATTGGACAAAGCCCAGGCATATCCTTTGACCAATGAGACCAAAAGAATCACCCAGCACTCTCTGAGCTTGACATAAGCAATGGAGCATTTGTTCAATGATTATGGATCTTCATCACTAGCCACTATTCCATTTCTTATTGGAATTCAAACCATAGAGAAATTAAGTTGGCAAAATCTCTGGAAGACCCTGACGTATAACCACATCTGAATTCATGAGTGAGGTAGCATTGAAACCATAAGTGTCCTCCTAGATTTTTTTTTTAGAGAATTGTACCTGTGCAGGTACACAGGTACCTGCAACTACTCACAACTACTGATTTTACAACACTTTCCTCTGTGTACATTGCTTCCCATACAATTTTTATGTCGTGTGCTCAGTAATTATATGAATATGTTTACAATTGATCCACAGCAGGATGCTATGCCTTGAAACTTAGATGAAGTTCTATGTATGGAGTAGAGCGCAGGTGTCAAATTCAGCACGTCACATGATGTTTCACGACGTTTTTCCCATTCACGGAACTGGAGTGGGTGTGGCCTGGGTGTGATGCATCCGGGCCGCAGGCTACAGTTTGACACCAATGGACTAAAGAAAAAAATGGCAGCATATAGGTCACCTAAATAGGTGACAGGTACAGTATGTTGCAGAGATAGAATAAGTAACATCTGCAGTCAACCTGGCTTTTCAGAGATGGCAAATCCAGTTCAAGGAAAAGATGAAGTTTTGGAGATCCTACCTTCATATTTGAAGCAACATGATGTTCTTAAGCTTGCTTACGTTGCATCTTGATTTGGAGATAAAAACAAATAGTCTTGCTGATTTAGACAGATGTCTACCACTACCACCATCATTCACTTTTAAATCACATGCATGCCACCCCCTCACAGTTAACACAAATTGGATTCTAATTCTTTTTGTATCTCCCTTTTCAAGATAATACTCAGCTTTTTCAGACTGCTGCTTATAGCCAGTTCTGTTGGTAAACATAGGTTACATCAGAGTAATTCAGTCATGCTTCTACGTCACTAAACAGCTTTCCTAATGGCTATGAAATTTTTAGGGTATTTCTCAACCTTTAAAAAATAAATAAATTTAGGAATTGTTATTATCTCCTTATAATTGTAATTGATGGGGGATAAAATGTAGGGACATGGTGGCTCAGTGACTAAGATGCTGAGCTTGTTGATCAGAAAGTTCGGTGGTTTGAATCCCTAGCGCCATGTAACGGAGTGAGCTCCCGTTACTTGTCCCAGCTTCTGCCAACCCAGCAGTTCAAAAGCACATAAAAATGCAAGTAGAAAAATAGGGACCACCTTTGGTAGGAAGGTAACAGTGTTCCATGCACCTTCGGCATTTAGTCATGCCGGCCACAACCACGGAGACATCTTTGGACAGCGCTGGCTCTTCAACTTTGAAACAGAGATAAGCACCGCCCACTAGAGTTGGGAATGACTAGCACATATGTGCTAGGGGAACCTTTACCTTTACCTTAATGCCTTCTCTAAGAACAGCTGGTGGGTATCTTGAGTGAAATGCTTCCATTCATCTACAATTGTGTTTGCTTCCTTTCCTTTTTTGAAATTTACATAATTCTGCATAGGAACTACCATATATGAATTGGTAAAAATAAAAATGAAATAGAAATTCCCTTTTAAAGAGATAGTACAAGATGCAGAATGAAAAGAA